TAATAAATGAAGTGATAAATCAAGTTGGTAATTAATTTAGCCTCTAGTTTCACTAACTAATTATTAATATTTTATCTTTAATAAATGAAGTGATAAACCAAGTTGGTAAGTAATTTAGCCTCTAGTTTCACGAACTAATTATTAATATTTTATCTTTAATAAATGAAGTGATAAACCAAGTTGCTAATTAATTTAGCCTCTAGTTTCACAAACTAATTATTAATATTCTAGCTTTAATAAATGAAGTGATAAACCAAGTTGGTAATTAATGTAGCCTCTAGTTTCACGAACTAATTATTAATATTTTATCTTTAATAAATGAAGTGATAAACCAAGTTGGTAACTAATTTAGCCTCTAGTTTCACGAACTAATTATTAATATTTTATCTTTAATAAATGAAGTGATAAACCAAGTTGGTAATTAATTTCGCCTCTAGTTTCACGAACTAATTATTAATATTTTATCTTTAATAAATGAAGTGATAAACCAAGTTGGTAATTAATTTCGCCTTCGTTTCATACGTGCTTAATAATCCTGAAAAAATATGTATATCACAAACAACGACGACATCAGTTTTATTACACTTGGAAAACATATTCAGGTTCATTCATTACAATTAAGGCCTAGCGCATTAGGGATATGGGACTCCTTCTTAAGGTTGAATTTCAACCTCGAGGAATCCTAGGTTTATTATCCAAAATCACTCTCGTTATCGGGATTTTTGAATTTAGACTTACCTTAATAATAATGTGTTGAGTATTGGCCTTTTTGATTCTTCTGAAATAACTGTGTTGTGTTTATTAGAAAAATATTTCAGAAAGATACAATAAAACACACAGGTTATTTATCAGTATTCTTGTAATAAAAACGGCCCACGTGGTTAATTAGTAAACTAGAACTCTGAAGAACTTTGGTGATACAGTGTCTGGCTTAACTTGTTAGATTGTTTTTTGTTTTTATTCAACAAGTGCTTCTAGTTAAACATTCATAAAATTAGTTGTATTGTTCGTGTCGCGTTTATGTGCCGTATTCAGAATTTGTTAGTCGTGATGATATTGTTAAGACTAAAAAACACACTTATTTATGGACTTCCTCTTTCTATTGCCATCTAGTGAGTCATTATGAAAGCTTAATGGGTCATTTTTGTTTTATTTAATTAACTAACAAACATAAATCTGTGTTAAATATATCACATCTTCTCCGTGTTTTTGACACTTTCAAGTAAAATGTAACAAACTTACACACTCACGTATACATATCATTTAAGTACGCTAGAAACATTTTTTAAACGGTCTACATTAGAAGGTGGAATCTTGACTAAATATGGAGCAACAGCCAATTTCGATGACGAGGAACCCACTTTGAGACTAATAATGGCTGGAGACGGCTTGAATGGGTAATGAAGAAAAACTTTAATATAAGTTTAACATAACAGTAAATGTACAACGTTTCGACAAGGTTTTGTCATCATGTTAAACTTATATTAAAGTTTTTCTCCATTACCCATTCAAGCCGTCTCTAGCCATTATTAACAGCCAATTTGTTTGTTTTTCTCTTTACCACAAATGTTCGACAATAACTAAAGGCATTTCATGAAAAAATAAGATTCATATGCAGAAAACTTTTACCTGACACATTGTTCGAGTTATCTCTTGAATTAAATTAAAACAAATAATATAATAAGCTTCTGATCTCGCGTCTATAATGGTCAAATTGAGAGAAATGTGGAAAAACATCATCTACAGTGTATGTGAGTTTATTACAAAGTTTAGGCCTACCAGTTTCTAACGGTTTACCAACTTGGGGCATTCTAAACACATTTTTCAAAGCATTATACCAAATAAATAAAGAGAGTTTGAGAGAATCCTTTCTTCTCTTTGTCCAGCCCAAGTGACGAGTTCTGGAACTGAATGAAAACCTCTTGGGCAATGACTTGTAGGAGACAAAAGTTAGCTGTAAAGTGCTATTTTTACACGCTTCTGATTCTGAGACCGTAGTGAACTAGTGAAAGAGAGACTGCCAAAAAACATCTGCAGTAATGCTTCGTCGGTTATCGCATTTCAACTGTAACTTAAAAAGAAAATATTGTTTGTGCTTCTAACCAAAGATACCTATCTAACATGACACAAAATTACGTCTGTGGTATTTATAGGTTCAGTGATTTCCTTTTGATACGATCCACAGGATATCAAGAATGTTAGCACACAAAAATATTTAAAGGAGTAAATATGAATTCAATTAAATTTGATAAAGAAAAAAAGATTAGAAACAGAGGCAAACTATTTTATCCAAAACTCGATGAAAATTAAGATTGTATAGTAAGGGATTGCAGCTTAATAAGAAGCTCACGTGATACCATAGATGAATGATGCAGAACTAAGATGAAAGGAGCAGCCTATAATACTTGTTTGAACAACGTTATGTATTTAAAATTAATCACACTTGCACTAAATAAGACAGAAAATACCTAGTACCAAATTAGCAAACAAGCTAATAAGTGTAGTTTTATTTAAATGGTAAAGAAATGGGGCCAGGTGGTTAGGGCGCGCGACTCGCAATCTGCGGGTCGCGAGTCGAATCTCCGTCCCACAAAACATGCTTGCCCTTTTTCAGCCGTGTTTGATCATGCCGCATCATTATTATCCATTCTGTCATATTTGATCATGCCACATCATTATTATCCATGCTGCCATGTTTGATCATGATACATCTTTACTATCCATTCTGTCATATTTGATCATGCCACATCATTATTATCCATGCTGCCATGTTTGATCATGCCACATCATTATTATCCATGCTGCCATGTTTGATCATACCACATCATTACTGTCTATGCTATTATGTTTGATAATGCCACATCATTATTGTCCATGCTGCCTTGTTTTATCATGCTACATCATTATTATCAATGCTGCCATGTTTCATCATCCCACATCATTATTGTCAATGCTGCAATATTTAATCATGCCACATCATTATTGTCCATGCTGCCATATTTGATCATGCCACATCATTAGTGTCCATGCTGCCATGTTTGATCATGCCACATCCTTATTGTCCATGCTGCCATATTTGATCATGCCACATCCTTATTGTCCATGGTGCCATGTTTGATCATGCTACATCATTATTTTCCATGCTGCCATGTTTGATCATGCTACATCATTATTTACCGTGCTGCCATGTTTGACCATGCTCTATCTAACAACCATGTATCTTAACAATAGCTCATCTAAAGACCTATAGCCGTCATTTCCAAAGTACACTACTCCTCTCTTTAATCCATCTAGTGTACAAGGGTGAAAGTTCTCCAGTGCTCATTTCAAAAGTCCAATCATACAAAATTATATAGGTGCTGCATCTGGCAACTTGAGTGGCATGACTTCATATGGCAGAGTGTGAATATCCATTTCATTCTCCAGCTACTTGTGGTATGCGACAT